CCCCTATTTTCAGAAACTCCCATATGAAACTGTCTATCATCATCATTGCCATCAACGTCATCATCCTCGCTGCCGTGGCTGCCAAGATCGTCAGCAATACGAGCGATGCACTTCTGATGAAGCATCATAAGAATCTGAGGCACCCGCCGGCGTCAGTTCGTTTCCTTCCCGGCTCGGATTTGGGGGCACCGGTCGCATGACAACGTACTTCAGCATGCTTCAGCCTACTCACATGTCGTACCTGAGCGTACCAGTAACACACTGCCCCCGCTGCACTGTCATCCCAACCCTAAACTACCCTAAACCCTNNCTAAACCCTAAACGCAGAAGCCTCAAGCGTAGCCATCCTGGCCTGGCCTGGTTCTCAGGGTACCATCAACGACTTCGCCCAGAAGCAGCGCTTCATCATCAGACTCACACAGGCTTCATTTTGGGCGTTGTATGATGATCTGTGGATGGGGTCGCAGTGCAGCATAGAATATGTTGTAAATTGTAAAACAACAAACTGACCACGACATACTGCGATGAATTGCTAAGCAATGCTCAGCTTGACAGTGTAACAGTACTTTGATAGACCATGCTCTGCTATGAGACTGCGATCATGCAATGACATGCAAATACATGTTGGCCAACTACAAACATCCGCTACAGCGCGATCAGATAACTCTGTCCACTATGCTCTAGAACGCCTGACTATAGAACAGGCAAGTGTCAGGAACTTCCTCGAGGCCCTGCTTCGAGGTGCGAAATTCGGCTGCAGGAGTCCCCACGTAGGAAGAAGGCCCCTCGTTCTTGTGTCGATTGTTGCCGGTCTTGACGGCAGGTCCGTCTTTGTGGTGGTGGCTGTTGTGGTTGTGGTCACAGAGATCGTGGTCTCTCGGCGCGTTCACCACAAGTTGAAGATTTCGAATCTATCTTCACCGTCTTCCGCTCCCAACTCTGCATCCCAAGTCAGGAAGGCTGAACTCCCAACTGCATCCCCGAGCGTGCCATCCAAAGCTCAGCCCTCAAACCCTCGTGCCAACCCCCCCCCCCCCCAACGACCTGGAGGATGGCCGCGGCCTCTCCGTCCGAAACTTCCGCCTCCAAATCCCCCAAGCTCGGCTCAGGTTTAGGGCTCAGGGCCTAGGCAAAGGATCCAGGACAAACCCCAAAACGTGACTCGGAAGCTTGTTTGTTGCAAGGGTCGACAATTCCAAGGCTGATGAGCTTCAGACAGGTGGGCCCTGAGCAACCGGCACGCTGACAGCCTTTAAGATCTTGGGGGGTTCGGCTCAGGCTGCGGTGCTTTCAGGAGGGCAGCAAAGGCCTGCTCCGGCGCAGCATCTACCTCGCCAAAAGGAATGCCGCTTCTGCACCCAATTCACCAGACTTGGGTCTGGGGTAGATGAGTATAGGGTACGGACGCGGCTCCACACAAAAAACCTCGGACTGAACCCACCAAAGGGAATCCATCCGGCAATGAACTTGACCCATGTCCGGAAATTGAGCAAAGCAACACATCAAGAAGCAGTGCACCCAAATGTCACAGAAGCGAGCCACTTTCACGAGACTTTTCTAGGCAAGATCAACAGAAAGCCTATGCACTTCTTGCGGTCACTTGCTCAAAACTGATCACCATTTCCACTTCCAAAGCCCGACTTCAGAGCTGCAGCACCTCCACCAAAACGCCCACCCTTGCAGAGTTCCTCGACTCAAGTGTATGTACGAGTACGTGCAGCCAGTGGCCTGGATTTCCTGCCGTGCCCCCTGCAAGGAGTCGATCACGAGGACCTCGCAGAGCAACGGGTCACCCTAGGAGCACAAGCTCCAGAACACAGAATAAACCTCAAAACACTCAACTCCTCCCCCTTAAGCCCTCGGTCTGTCCATCTAAGGAAAGAATTGAAAGCACAAGAGAAAATGCCGGCAAGAGCACCAGACCTGTGAATCGCTGGACCCACTTGCCAACGCCCCCACTGCGCACTGCTCCAGAGGAGCTGGAGGCCTGCATGCGGCCGAAGCTTCAAAGCTACATGTGTGATTCCAATAAGATGGGTGTAATCTCGGGCTCGGGGCAATTTTGGTAGGGTTCTGGGCTTGAGGGCTTCACGCCTAGGGCCTAAGGGCCTAGGGCCTAGGTAGAACCATGATACAGCATTCATCGGGTGACGAAGCTCGCGAAACCTAAAACGAGGCGGCTTCAACCCTTTTAAGCCTTAAGCTTGAACCCCAAACCCAAACACTTAGACGCAAACCCTGAAACCAAGGGCACTCAGGAGCCTAAACAATCGATCTGATGAGTCCCCGACGGAGCCAAGCAAACAGCGGAAGCTGGCAGCCTGAAGTTGGTCTTCCATGCGTGCTGGCTTCCAAAATTTCGGACTTTAAGTTTAGGGATCAAGAGTTATATACGGTTTAGGGTGCGGGGATAAGGGTCTTCATGTTGGCTTTGATGTCGAGTATAGGGCTGCCAGGAGCCGAAGGGAGCCGCTGGTGCAAAAAGGAAGGGAGATCAAGCAAAGGCCTCAACTCCAGGGCCTAGGTCCTGAAGCCAGGAACCCAACGAAGAACACCAAACCCTCCCCAAGCCCTTCGGGGTTTAGGGTTTAGGGTTTAGGGTTTAGGGAATACTAAACCCTATGCCCAGAGCCCTCGAGCCCTGCAGCCCCAAACCCCAAAAAAAACCCTCGCAAAAAGTCCCTCTTTCTCCGCGTCCTCGAGGTTTGCCGAGGCCCAGGCTCGGCCTGAGGGGCCTGCGAAGGCTTTCGGGCTCGGAGCCCTGAAGATTAGGGACAGGGGCTTAGGGCCTTAGGGTTCAGGGATTTGGGGATCCAGGGAGGTTGAGACTTCCTGAGCTTCGGGAGAAAGATTCAGGGATCGCGGGAAGTTTGGGTGGAGAGCTGTACGTCGGACTCGGCTTTTTGGCAGTTAGACATTGGCAGACGCGATTCCTCCGCAGCGACCCGTCCTCGTCCTCTCCAGGCAGCTGGGGCGATTCGGTCCTCTGAATTCGCCGAAGATGCAGATCTTGTCACTTGTGGTGAGCTCGGAGGATGCATTGAAGACTACCGAGATCTACCGACGGCCAAGACAGCTTACAGAGACAGAGCTCGGTGCGTTCAAATGTGAAGTGATACCACTAAGCATCCTGAAACCCTAAGGCAGAATCTTGCTCTTGCAGTGCGAGAATGGTCCTCGGGGAATGGGACTGCCGAAAGCCCTCGAGGAAGTAATGTCCAAGCTCAGCCTCCGAGTGACGTTTTTGTTTTTTTAGGGCCTACCTAGGGTTGGAAGACGAATAACCTCTTGGCGCCATTGGGTCGTCTGGTTTGAAGGCTCAGCTAAGGATGTCAATGGCATGAGAGCATTTGCCTTTGATGGTTTCTGACGGTGTTCAGGATGTTGCAGGTTACGGCTTGTCGGGTCTAGTGCGCTTTGGTGCTCAAGGTTTATGGCTTCTTCGTTTTGGCGCATGATCCTGTAAAACAAGTCCCCATGACTTTATGGGCACAAAGAAAGATCTCACTTGCTGTCGCAGGTTTGAACAAGGGTCGAGGCTTGAGGTTTGCCCTATTTGTCCTGCTTTCGGGGGCCATGGCGCCTCCATCGATCAGGTAAACCGCCACCGACGTCTGCACACAGGGGCAGAGTTAGCAAAAAAGAACGTGGCACATGATGACAATGGAAGCAGCAACAACAACAACCAACAAAAAACAACGACGATCAAAGGAGTCAGTCTACATAATCCCCAGGGTTCACAAAACTGAAGCGGACGACCGACAGGTCGGACCTTCGGACGGACATGTCATGTCCAAGCAATCGCCGTTGGCGTCGTCACACTGTCACTGCTGTGAAGATGCTGGCGATGAAAACGATACTCAAGCTCCGATAGTCATGCTGAGGTCCCTGAGGTACCCCACCCACGACGGCGGCGAATGCCACTCTGCCGCTCCCACGACTGCTTACACTGTTGGGTGCTACTGTACTGCTGCCAGTGCCGATACCTTACTGTAGCGAATGTAGCGAGCAGCTCCCAATGAATTCAGGGACCAACTCCGGTTCCGGTGGCCTTGCATCCCTGTGCCTGTGGAGTATGGTTTCCATCATCTCCATCTCGCCACACCGCCACAGACCAACAAAAGCATCTGAGGTGATCTGAGACTCGCAACTTTAACTTCCTCAAAACCTCGTGATAAACAGAATGGCGACGCGGTTTGGACCCTACCATGTCACAGGTCTCATGGCTTTGGACTACCCAGCATGATCTGGGCCGGCGTCTGCACTTGGAAGCATCAGGCACGTTCTTCCAACATGTGGCAGGTACAATGCAACTTGTCAGAGTCTCTGAATGAGTTACGGTGATAAGTGAAAAGTCTGTGATTGCATGAGCTTTTTCGGCACAGAACAGGTCCGAGATGCACAATACTGTACAATACACTCGTCGACCACCCTTGTGCGGTCATAAACAAAAGTGTCTTGGTCGAAGACGACCCCCCGAAGCCATTGGACGGCTGATGAGCTCAGACAGCGGCACTCCAATGGGGCTGAGACTTCAGACGAGTTTGTTGTGTCCTGTTCTTTCAAAGAAACGACATGATGCCAGAGGCCATCCTCTTCTTCTTTGACGGTCAAACGGAAAGCCATGTGAAGGCTAGCGAGACTATTGCACGAATACCAGAAAAGGGTTATGCACGGAGCTCATCAAACTGCTAGTTTCGCATCCTAACCACCGTCGCTTCAGGAAGCAATCTTCTCTTGAGGTCCACTGGGGCCGGAGAACTCATCTTTACAGGTCCTGGGTTCAAGGCTTTCAGTGGGATTTTTGCCTGTGGTGTTCAATCAATTCCTCTTCGCTGCACTCACTGGGGAACATTGCCCACGGGAGTGAGCTCTCTTGCTTTGGCTGTCTTCGGGACAGCAAAAGTGAGACATGTTCCCAACATGTGGGAAGCCACTCGACAGGATGCAATCCAACTTTAAGTTCAAGCATCTTCCACGGGCGCCCAAACTTGGTTGTCTTGAAGATTGCAAGTAGAGAAATAAACATTGTCTTTGATAAAGATGCCGGCCACATCCCAGTCTAGGCAAAGATCTTGCCCCCGCGTTTGAATCGTCCCACCGGCGTGATAGATGAATTTCTGAGCTTCGGAGCCGTCGCAATCCTGCAGTGTGGCGTCTTCTTTGGCCAAGTTCCTGGCTGTCTCGGTTGCATCCATCAGTTCAGGGAAGTCCTAGGCTCAGCAACCAAGCGGACGACGCGAATAGATGTGCCATTCTTTGACGAGCCGTCCCCCAGACCAAGTCGCATGAAAACAACTGGACCACGACAAATGGTGGCGCTCCACCTATGACCCATGACACCGCGCAACAAGTGCACAAACATCTGCATGTCAGAGAAACAAGAACGACGGAACATTACAATCAAAAGAAAGTCTCGTTCGAAAGCTTACCTAGTTGACACACAGGTCGGTAAGCGAAAGAACGACATAAAAGCATCCTCAGAGCCCGAGCCTTTGAGCCAAGAGTTCTCTGAAACCCTGAACCTCAAAGCCCCATACCCTAGAACTGTTAAACCTAACGCCCTACGCCCCGAGCCTTCGAGCCAGGACCTCTATGAAAGCCACTTCGGAACCGGTGAACCCGAACTTCAGCCCAAGGTTGGAGCCTCGAATCCAAGCTTCCTTTCGTTCCCACTCCAAGAGGCATTTGTTATGTACAAACTGTACAGAAATGTGTGGATGTATGTAGTACACATATATGTTTTTGCAAACACACAGGCATATGTTTTTGTACATGTATCTAACGTGTATGCCTATTTGTGTTTGTATGTATGTGTGTGTATATGTAAAAACAAAAATATACCTGAAAGAGCCTTTGACAGAGTATACGCAAACCCCCCCTGCCGACATAGGTACCAAAGGACCCTCAACCGAGACTTCCGTAGCCAAGCTTCGGACACCGTCAGACAGGCGTCTCCAAGCACCAAGGCAGAAGTCTCGACATCCCACTGCCACTTTGGACAATCCGCCCCCTGTGGAACAGCTTTCACCTCCTTGGATCTGAAGCTTCCACGCAGGCACACTCCTTTAGGTCCCACATGAACATGCGATGCTAATGCTTGGGCTTGCCGAGATTCCTCGCCCTGGAAAGACAAGCAGTGCGTGTTGTCTACCCGGGATGGGTAAGAAGTCACGAAAACTGCCGCAGCCGGTCGTATCTTCGCCCAAACTTCGTTCTGCTGTTCGTTGCACGTGTAGAAGTAGACGTTGTTGATGCGAAACAATCCATACACATCCCAGTCCAAGCAAAGAGAATCCTGCATTTCAAGATGAATCGTGCCGTCTGGGTGGAAAGTCACACGCTGTTCCTGAAGGCCAGTGCAGTCCTGAAGCACGGCATCCAGCGCGGAAGACTCGTCGCGGAGGGTCTGATTGAGTTCATTCTGTCGAAGGGCTTTCGAAAATGCCACTGCCGTAACACACTTGTCATCCAGAGTCTTCAGCTGACCGTCTTGAAACGTGAAGCGCTGCTCTTCGATACCCAAGCACTTGTTACCAATCAGCTCCTTGTCTTGGAACGTTGTGAGGCACACGTACTCAACAACAGCCTCCGAGAGTGGCCATGAAGTTTGCAGCATGAACGTCTCTGTGGTCGTCGTGCTAGTGGTCGTTGTTGTGGTCGTGCTGGTGCTGGTAGTGGTCGTGGTGGTCGTGCTGGTCGTGGTGGTCGTGGCGGTAGTGGTGGTGCCAGTTGTTGTAGCACATGGATCGGGGGCTTGGAAGTCATGACAAGTCGCCTCAGGCTTGGTACCGCAGTCGTAGAGCCTGCCGGCATGGCAATACATCACTTTGGTTGGAGCCAAAGGCCAGCGCACCACATAGACGCACTCATAGTCTTTCGCAAATGTGAAGGGGAAGAACCAACATCCATGCTTGGGACACCCGGGGGCACTTCCACAAGCCGCCACGCTCTCTGCCTCTGTTTCGTTTACAGAGAACTGGGGCATCATGCTCCAAGCTTGCAGGATGTTGCTCTCTTCACAATCTCCCGTGCTGCATGTGGGCTCGCTGACCACATGCGCGAAAACCCAAGATACCAAAGCCCACGCACCTCGGCTCAGATTTCCCTTCTTGCTTGGAGCAACAAGAAAGTCTACAAAGCTGCATAGGCTGGACAAGTCTGAGGTTCCGGGATCCAATGTGCCATTATTCTAGCGGCATCCCATGACACTCCCATGACAAATGTCAGCAAAGTGTCGGAACATCACGCGACGAGTTGGGATCCAGCGAGTCTCAACGGTTTCTGTGCAATACACTCACGTCTGCCGCCGAAAGAACTTATCTCAGTTCTTGTATTCACCGCAATAGCACACGAAGTGACAAATTCCATAGCCTACTCTCGAAACCTCAACTGAAACTTACAAGAAATGTGGCTTCAAATGATGATGAGGCACGAATTGTCTGGGGCCAACCAATCTACATCAAAGTGTGCTTGAATGCGACAGGAACGTAGACCTAGGCCGAAGCCGCAAAGACCGTGAACGCTTAAAGAACCCTCATCGTGGTGACCTCGATTTGAACTCCCTGTCTTCAGACCTGGAAGCTCCCATAAGCCCGGCAACGAACAGGGCCAGCCCATAACGTCAAGCGGCTCGTGGTTCTCCAAGACGACCCACTTCCGAGACCAGTGATGAAAAAAACGCGCCTGCCGTGTGTGGGTGGGCAGCGGCTTTCAGCTAGAGTTCCGGATGAGACATACCAGTATCCATCGCTGTTAGACGAGCCCATAGCATCCCGCTCTTCACGGCTGTGGCTTACCTCTGTACCTGAACGAGCTGTTCCGTACCTTCTCCTTGCAGCTTGCTGGAAGCACGGAAGCTGAGCACCCCCTTCAACGGAGACGGAAGATCCCAAGAACTAACAAGCCCGCGACGCTTGAAGATCCACCGCAATTTGTGTCAAGCCTTATGAACCCTATGTCAACTCCCTTTTCGGTGCTCACACTCGGACAATCCAGGCGAGGCATCTTGAGTCGGAAAATTCCCTTCTCAGGTAGGTGGGCTTATTCATCGGGGGTCTACAGTACGCGACGTCGTGATGAGCGTTGATGCGCGACGAAACGGGAACTACAGGCTGTTTTCGTATGTTTTCGTAAACCTGCAGCCCAGGAATGCGAAAGAAACCCAAAGCCCCCTGAACCCTGAAGCACTAAATCCTACATCCCCAATCCTAGCTTTATTAGTTACAACAGGGTTTGGGATCTTTAAAGCCAGAACTGTATTCAGTATAAAACCCTTTACAGGAATCCCAATGGGAATGCCATCATAAGACCTCGAAGCAATCCTCGGAAAACTCGCAAAATCAGCACCCTACACAAGCCTATACCTAAACCTCAACAAACCCTAACCCTACACACAAAGCAGGCAGAATCCGGCAGAAAAGTGCAGCTCAGGCCTCGTTGAAGGCGTCGTGCATGAGGCGCCCGAGCTTCGAGGCCTTCGACCAGCGGCCTTGCCGATGCACTTTCTAAGGGGGTCTTTCCAAGATTGCACTTTTTAAGGGGTTTAGGGTTTAGGGTTTAGGGTTTAGGGTTCAGGGGTTAGGGTAGGCTTCTATAAGGGTTTCGGGTTTGAGGGCTTGACGCAATAAGGGCAAGGGTTCCTTTGTAGGGTTCCCTTCTGCAAGGGCTCCTGGAGCACTGCACGCGAGCGCCGCACCATCGGATTTTCGCACTCTGGACTCTGGACACACCAGCTGCCAGCTGAACTCCACAAAATGCAAGCCTTCATCGCCAGGTGCCCTGTACAAACCAGCGCGACGAAAGGGCTCAGAGCCAGAACAAAAAACGGGTGCACGGCCTGGGCCTCAACCGAACAGGGCAGCAGCGACTCAAAGTTCGTCCCACATCTCCTGTAGAGTTCTGTGATGTACGTAATCTCAACAACGGACGACATGAACACACAAGATTCCACAAGTCTAGAACGCATACCAACGTCATCCTAAGTCCACAAGGCCGAGAGTCACCGATGGCACCACGCTCGTGAGGAGCAAACGACTCAAGGATCTCCGCAAAATCCCTGTCTTTTGCCGGCGGTTCACGATCTCGTGTCCAGTCGATCACTCTCTGCAGTGCAGCATCCACAGCCTCGGCCTTTGTCAGTTCTCCAGAAAAACATTGACATGAGCTGTTCTAAAGGGTGGACGACAGCATAGACGATGCACTGGCAAGACTCAAGATCCCTGCCTTCCCCATAAAGCGGATGACACCATCAGACGCATCATATGTGGACCCCTGGATTCCGGGGAGACCTCTAAGCTTGGGAAGCAGATCGCGATCGTAATCATCCATGAGCTTCGGCGAGATCTGAATGCTCTCATGCTTGACCTTGACCTGCAGCTTCTGTGCCACACGTCGCACAGCAACGAGCTCACCAACGATCACCACTTGGAGCTTGTCCGGGTACCATTTTGTCAATACAGCATGCCTCCTCGCCAGGTCATTCAAGCGTCTGCTTCCACCATCATCCTCAAAGCTTTTAATCGAAGGAAAGATCACAATCTCCCGATGATGGTCCCGTCGGATGAGAGCCACAACTGCATCGACGTCTTCGTCAGAGCCTCGAACTGTTACGGTCGTCCTAGACCAAGGGTCGGTGTCGTAAACCTTTGGCGTCTTGATCTTCACGTCATACTTCTTCTCAAGCTCTTTCACGTTTGAGCCGTCTGTGCCTAGAAGACGGCCGCGACGGCAAGTGGGGATGTCGACAGTGTCCTCTATCTCTATCTTCATCCTTTTGTTGCGGTCCCGGTAACCAAGCAACACCCTGTCAACCGATCTCCCTTGGTGCGCAGGACCCGCGGCGCTTGAAAAGCTCCGTTTTGCAGCTGCTGGAGCTGCGCGCGCCGAGCTTGGACCTTCGGTTGTTGCCGTTGGCTCTTTCCTTGTCCTTCCCAGTTGAGAGTTGGGAGAGTGCGGGGGGCCAAGAGCATGTCTCGGTGCGTCAGATGCCTCGGCTCTGGCTTGGGCTGGGGCGGGTTCAAGCCGCGGTGCACTTGCCTGCACGGCCTTCCCCAAAAGAGCAGCGGCCACGTCAGCACGACGCTTCAGCTCAGAAACAGGTGGGCCCAGCTCCTCGGCGCTGCGAATCTCCGCAGGCTTGGGAGATCTCGGCTGCTCGGAGTCACTGCTGTGCACGGAGTGCGCGGTATCTGACTCGGGCTCAACCGGAAGCGCCAGAGCCTGGACATCATCGGACTCAGGAGACCTCACATATTCAAAGATCTCGGGGACCTTGGTCTTGACCGCTGTCAGCTCCACTGCACTCAGTCCCACCCCGGCCCCGTGGAACTGGCCGTAGATACAGCACAACTGCAAAGTGGCGATGGGAGACGTGCAGATCGACAAGCAACGGTCGTTGGCTTCATCGGCATCCCACACTTGGGCGTTGCAAGAGATCTTGGCCAGGAAGTCCTTCAGCCTTTGCTCTTCATCTGCTTCTGCTGGAGCTGAGCTGCAAAGTGCCCGGATCCGCGTAGCCAGCTGGGTAAGCCTTCCCCCCTGCCTCAAAGCTCGCGCGAAGGCTGTCCACATCGAGCCGGAACGCTGCACTTTCAAGTCGTGTGGCTTCAACCTTAACCACGCAAGACATGGTGCCATGACGAAATGCTGAGCTTTAGCAAGGCTTGCACAGTTCGACGTAACCGATTTTGGCGAGAGTCGACACACATGACAGAACGTTTACCTTGCTGCCACATGCTGCCACACTGACACATTCTGCCTGTCAACAAGCGTCCGCTGTGCATGCTACACTGCACAAAACACAACGAAGAAGAGTCTCTTCAACACAGCGTTGAAACTTAAACGACGGAACAAACTCCGGATGCTGCTGCAGGCCACGCCACCGAGACTCCAGAGCACCGAATGCCAAGGGCTTCGTCGTACGGGTCAGCACCGGATCTGATCTTCGACTGATTGGATCACGTCTTCCCGCATCTTGTCGACTGGCCAGCTTGTCACGCCTGTCCATGCCCAAGACCTCAAAGCGGATTACAGCTCGTGAGGAATTATCCGTAACTCTAAAGCCTGAAAAAGCATCGAGTCGTAGTGCTACCTTTGATCATAGACACCTTAGTATCTAAAATGAACACATCGTACTGGTAGCGTCAGTAGCAGCGGCTACGGCGATAGCAGTAGGGATTGCAGCAATGGTAGTGATGGTACTGGTTGCATGGTGGGCATACGTAGCAAATGGTAATGACACTGCCTGCATCAGCAGTAGCAGTAGCAGGAGCATTGTCATCATCTGGTGCCTCTTCATCAACGTCATCTGCCCCGGAAATATGGAGAATCTTCCTGTTCAGGGCGTTGTAATCATGTGTCTCGCCAAGCAGCTGCTTGCAGCGCCTTTAACACGAAGTTCAAAGACTTGCCGCCGTCGATGATGGATTGCACTTCCTCTCTCCAAGTCTCCCTGGTGAGGATGCTCCGCAACTTTTGCTGCAAGTCACGCATGTTCTTCGCATACGACCTGAGTCACAGAATGCAAGGACTTTGTGTGCTTGTGCAGCCTGCTGACACCAGAAGCAAAACCTGAACAAATCCGACCATACATGCACTGTCAAAGGTCACAAAACCCCCTGGCTGGTGTGGCTCAGGCCGGAACCTCCGCTTTTCTCGAAGCAATGCTTTGCTGCACTCCGGCCCAGCGTAGATCAATGCCTTGTGCAAACGGAATGGCCTGGAAGTTCGATCAAAGCAGCGCAGCAGAAACAGATTGCTTTCGCACCCGCGGTTGCACAAGTCACAGTGTCTCTCGTGACCCCAGTTTTGCAATGGCTTGGCATCGCGGAATGCGTGGGAAAATTTTCTGGCACCATCGCAGCCCCCATCTGTGGCAATGACGAACTCGTACTTTGGACGAAGATCCGGGCGAACAGGGCTGTCAAAAGGCAGGCCGCGACGACCTTTGAAGCCAGTGTCGATACCCATCTCGTCAGGAGAGATTCGAGCCTCATCGAAATCCTGCTCGCCAAGTGACGGTGAAGGGAGCAACGTGAAAAGCAACATTACACAGAGCTGACTCAGGAGTAACTTGAAGCACTGCCATGATGTGCGAACAACTAAAGCATTGCGAAGCACCCTCTGCCAAGTCCTTCACAACTGCCCTGGCGAGCAAGTCCTCGCCCTCGGAAGGCCGTTTGAAGGCAGCTGGGGTCACTGCCTTCCGTGGTCTCACCGGCTCTGCTTTGACCTCATTCAAATTGGCGTCTCCGTCCCGAGCTGCTTGGGCAGCTGGCCTTCGTTTGGTTGGCCGGATCGGCATTCCAAGCATCTGCTTCTTGAGATCTTTCACGTCGTCCCTCGACATGCCATCCTCGCCATCCTCCAAGCGGACATAGCAAAGCCTGCATATTCGCAAAGCCTCGTCCAGACTTCCTGCCTGTGCCTTGCTTATCTGGAAAGAAGTAATCGGCAACTTTTGGCTCCGGAGCAGAGGAGAAGATTTTTTGATAATTGCACGCAGCTCGCCACTTGCAGCCACATACTTGTGGGCATCCTGACCAGCAGGCGCATCCTCCATTGCCGATGTCGTGGCTACGAGCCTACCTGCTTGTGCTTGTACACACACATTTTGCTCGAATAGACGAAATCTCCTCCAGGCTATGCACTTTCGGCTACCATCGTCTGCGTGCTATGTTTTACCCGATGCCATTCGGATCCTTTCGGCTGCACCCGGCATACGCTTCTGCAGTCTGCGGATTCGCCGACGGGAGTTCGAAGAATCTGCGGAAACTTGAAAAGGCTTCCTAGCGGTGGGGGGGGTGTGACTTGTGAAGCTGGGCTGTACCGCTTTGAATTTGCGAGAGTTGAAGCCTTCCGCTCCCAGGCGACGTTGTAGAGAGCAGTCAAGGCTCCTGCAAATTCGGAAAGCTGCTTTCGTGTTGCTTGCAGTTTTCGTGGCAATCGCTGTAGGCTTTCATAAGCAATCATGTGCCATACAGATTAGCACGAATTGCTACAGGCACTCCGCTCTTTTCAATCGCCAGCCGAGGCTTGACTTCTAACACACTCAGGCCTCTGAATCACTTCTTCATAATCATCACCACACCACCCAACAGCAAGACCACCACACCGCTGCCTGCAGCCCAGACCCACGCCGCCACTCGGCAGTAGCCAAAAGTGGAGACAATGCCCTTGAGTAGGAAACCCTCCGGGCCACCGAATCGTCCGCCGGTTGCACAGACGAAGAAGGGAGAGTGCGGGCAGGTGCAGAGCCCTGCGCTGTTGCAACCCATGCCGTAGTCGTAGCCTCGATGCAACGACATGTGGTTAGCAGCATCTGGGGTTGGAACCACGGTCTCACACTGCAGAAGATCAGAAACTTCAACAACTGAGACAACTGAGTGCCGAGCCTTCCATATTAATTGGGAGGAGGCCCGTCTCCAGCTTGCCGCCGGGGAGTCCGGTCGGGCAGTGTCCAGTCTGTATGTAGTGTGAGATCACGCTCGATACCTGTGAAGGGTCTGGCCCACCGCTTTGGGTCTGGTTGTGCGACGAGTTTGCGGCTAGGACCACCTGGGACCGCTCGTCGGCACGAAAAGCTCCGGCCGCGCCGATAAGAGTAAGCACGAAGGCAAGCCGAAGAGCCATCGCTGATGAAAGTAGGGAGGATTGCGCAGGCACTTGTCGCTTGTTAGCAAGTCGATGGGCAAACTGGGCCAATGGCGTAGTGCATGAGGCATCTCAATCCACGAGGCACCGATCACGCGAGGTTGCAAGACTTAGGACTGCCTGAACGAACATCGACGGTGTAATCCTTCTGTCCAAGAGTTGCCTGTGAATGTTGCCAATGACAGAAAACCCTCGGGTCCTCTGCAGCCAACCACAGGCTGCAGTCATCCTCTGCCTGCGGAGCGGTTCTTATGTTCCAATCAGGTAAAACAAAGTTTGATGTGCAATCCAGCCATGTTCGTGATGTGGGAAAACTGAACGTGCAGAATGGTCTCAACCTGTTTGTGTCGCAAGGGCTAAACAGGGTTCTACTTTTCTGCAGCCTTGTATGGTCTTGTGCCTTCCACAGAGTCTGCAGGACTTCTGGTTGTAAAGATATTGCATTCACGAGCGTGTGGGGATTTGGGTTTACCGATTTTGAAGTTTTAGGTGTAAGTCTACAGGGTTCAGGCTAGCAGCCCCATCACATGTTGTTGCATTACGAAGTTTTTCAGTAGTTGTGCAAAGTAGATTGTAGCTTAAGCAGTTAGAACCCAGAATCGGCAGTATAGAATGCCAAGCCCCATATTTGCCTCTCAGGTATCCGGGAATTTCTAAAGACTTTGGATTACAACTTATTTAGGTTTCGCTTGTGCGTTTGGAGCCCTTAGTTGGGGCTTTGGGTTTGGGCTGGGTGATGATGGACAACGGAGCCACAAGACTAGTGCTGATGTTACTAGTCGCTATTCAGGCTCAAGGGCTTAGGGTCCAGGGCTTGAATGCTTGGAAGACAGATGTCGGAGCGCAGGTACATAATGCTAAGATTCAAGATGCATGAAGGTACGGTTTTTAGGGGCCTTGGGCTGGATAGGTCTGTCCCCTCCAACCGCGCATCCACGGTTCCGGATGCTGAATCGCTTTTCGGCAGGGCATTGCATCGTGCAACTCAGGATTCGGACTTTGCAGTCTTTTCAACATGGGACCTTTGCACAACGTCGAGCCGTCTTGACACCAGAACCCGTCATTTGTCATTTCTGCAGCACTACTTTGCAAAACTTTGCAAACGCACTGAAATCCTCGCATGAGCCGAAAAAACTACGATTGGTCGAACAATGCCTGCCCAGCATTCCTTGCGCATGCCTGCGAGGGCACGAGCCGTTCTTTGGTGAGACAACTGTGAGTTGGCCAAGCTACAAAGCAAAAGCGGTGTCTTCTTGACTTGCGGGGATTGCTGTAGAAGGTGCGAGGCAATGCGATGCCCTGTCCGGGTACGAACGAAGGGCGGCAA